AACAGGTGGCAACTGTAATTTTTTTCTTTTTATATTTTAAGTTAGACCTCTAGCAATACATTGGTGAAAACTGTATCAAATTTCATGCATTAGTTTTCGAGTGAAGCGCGTACAAACATACAGACAGACAGACAAAAATTCTCAAATTTTTTAATTTCTATTGCTCTAATAAAGACCCCTATATTAATTTTTCTTTAATATCTATGATTCCAACTAGTTAGTTCCAGCCTGTCGGTGTGCCATTAAAAAAGGGGAAACTTGAAGCCGCAAAGAGATATTCAGACAATATTTGTTATATTTTCTATATTTTTACAGGTCATACGTACCCGTAGGTCTTATTTTATTCTTTAATATAAATACATATAAAAGTAATATGTACATGTATGAAGAAATAAGAACAATTAAGTAATTGCTTACCTTTTTGATAATTACGAATGACAGATTTCAAATTGTCACAAATTATTTCCGATGAGGATTTTTGAAAGTCTGCGTTTTGCGCTGAAAAAGTTATACTCAAAAAAGTAAACTTACGTTAATAAAATTAATTTAAAGGTGGGTGACACAAACCGGCGCTCCAGCTCTGAAAGTATTCAACTCGGGACCCGCTGGTGGTAGCAGAGGAAGAGGGAGGCCCCCACTGCGATGGAAAGATCAGGTGGAGAAGGACTTGGCTTCACTTGGCGTCAGTTGGCACAGAGGAGAAACGACTGGCGTGCTTTGCTGAACTCGGCCAAAATCGCTTAGGCGGTTACAGCGCCAAAAAAGAAGAAGAAGACACAAAATCACCAACACGGGTATGATGAGTGACTTATAGAGTATGGTTTTCATACGTCGAGAGATGACTTTACTCCTTAATTGCCTACTCAGTCCAAAGTAGGTCTTGTTGGCAAGAGTGATTCTGCGTTGGATTTTCACACTGACATTATTATCGGTGTTAATGCTGTTTACCAAGTAAACGGAATTCTCTACTTTCTCGAAATTAGACTTCTGTTACTTTTATTTTGCATAAAATTGGCAATTTCGTAAAAAATGTAATGAAGTTTTCTTACTCAAATATAGCTTTATATGGCTTAACCATTTAAATATAACTATTGAATGTTCAAAAAAACTAAATATTTCCCGCCGAAATATATGCCTTGAA